TCCTAAACCTAAACTAAGATCGAAATTGAAAAAGGTTTTTTGATCCCTCTAACGCTCTAGTTAATCCCGAGATCAATTTTTGTGGATCTATATTTTCAATTTCAGCACCTCAGGGTATGTATTTTATATCTAATATTGAAGAAATAAAATATTTCTATGAAGATTCTATAGGGAATGTGATTTATAATCATCCTAAACGACCTTTTGGACTCCTATCCGTATGGATAAGTCTATGGTAAGTCGTATGAGTATTTTTCTCCTTACGAATCTTATGTTGCGCTTGCATGATAGGCGATGGCTATCTATCATGAGCTGAATTATATATAAATATATATATATAATTTATTTTATTTATTTATTTATTAGAATCACTTGTTTCAGAAGCTTTGATCTTTACCGATTAGGCAAAAAAAGATTAATCATTATAATGTGATGGAATGAATCCTTCTGATCGTATATTATGTGTTGGGAGAAAATATCATTCATGTCCTTATCAACCTAATCATAAACCTAAACTAAGATCGAAATTAAAAAAGGCTTTCTGATCCCTCTGACGCTCTAGTTAATCTCGAGATCAATTTTTGTGAATTCATTTTCTCAATTTCAGCATCTCTCTTTGAGGATATGTATTTTATATCTGATATTAGAGAGATAAAATATTTCTATGAAGATTCTATAGGAAATATGATTTATAATCATCCTAAACGATCTTTTCGACTCCTATCTGCATGGGCAAACATGTGATAAATCGTATGAGTATTTTCCTCCTTACGAATCTTATGAGGGCTATCATGAGCTAATATAGTAGCATCACTTCACTACAGTAGTAGTGAATGTCAATACTTTGGATAATTCTTAGATGGCTGCTAAATAAAGACAGTAGAAAGAAACAGAGGATAAGAGTCAGCCAAAGGACGTGGATAACTTCATCTCCTCCGAGACGCAAAATATTCCACATACTGATCCTACGCAATGCATGCAGGAAAATACAACGAAAAAGTTGTGCCACCTGACTTCCCCCAACCCCCACAGCATGCCGATCCAATTGCCAGATTCTGCCCTATCCAATCATCCACTCACACTGCTTCAAAGATGACTTGGGCAATGGCAACGCTGCTGAATACTTCTTCTTCTAATCCACGCTCTGCACATGATGATAAAAAGCTTTGACTAGTTTCTGTGCTGACATCCATCCAACCCTCACTTACACGCCATCCGTATCCCATCAAGATCTGCTTCGGGGAGCAAAGTATGAACTAAAATAAGATGTCCTCGAAACATGTCGAGTGTTCCTTCCATACGGTACGAAGCAACCGAGGCGTTCTGATCATGACTTTTCCACCCGTTTCATTAAATGCAAGCCACGAATGGGGACGTAATGGGAGCGTCTCCGACGACCACCCCTCCTCGCACGACATGCCTCAATGCCATCGCAGTCAATTCAAAGAAGCACAGCACGAGGCAGGAGCAAGTCGGATTCCACCTAACCGAGATTTTTAGCGTGCAGTGCAGGGAGAAATCTGGGGATTTGGCATCTTCGCGAGCGCCCGCATCGCCAAGTGCTCGGAGAATCGCCTTGTCTCGCATCGCTCAGCCTGGAGGAGGCTTCTAGGAAAAGACGAAGGGCTGCCATCTTTGAATATGCTTCCCTTGTGTCATCCGAAGAGGGTAGAACAGTTACATTAACATGAGTGATTAGGCTTCTGGTGCAAGTCTCCTTTAGATTTCAAGATAATGCAGTCGCACGTCACACTCCCACTGACTCCACCCCACTGAGTTGAGCTTTCATCGGATGTGGAAGACGGTGATAGGGGCATCTTCCGAAGATCTCCTACTGCCGGCGAATCCTTAGTTTTCTGTGACACCAACGTGGATTTTTGACCCCGTCAAAGTAGCTGACCTGATATGATGATATAATATAATAATATAAGAATGAATGAACCCAAGTCTATCCTTGTGATGTTTTCCAGCCCTATATATATATATATATATATATATATAGAGAGAGAGAGAGAGAGAGAGAGAGAGAGAGAGAGAGGATGGCAATAGAGATAAACTAATGATGATCAAGTCAGTGCCTTGTGTCTTGGGAGGTTTGATCGTCAATCTTGATGCATATATATATATAATTATGGCAAGAAGTCAAGATTTTAAATGCTTGTTTGACACTAATTTCAAATATTACACTCGTCTGCTTGATATTATAACTATATACAATGGTGGAGACTAGACTGGTCGAGTCATTGCATTTGGTATATTTTATATTAAAAATATAATAATAATAATAATAATAATGTATAAATAAATTTTCTTAAAAGATCTTCGGTTCTAATTTATTCTTTTTTTTTTCTAGTAAAGCATCTTTTTCTTTAATTCTCACATAATATTTTTTTTATTTTTTGAAAGATGATATTATCCTTGCCTCTATCCTGTTGATCATCGTCTCAATCTTGTCATGACTATTTCTGTTCTATTATGCTCATTGTCACCATGAGGACCCGATCGAGTTTTGTTGCTTAAGTCATGACTTCCATTATAACCGATGAGTAGGAGAGGGAGGAACAAAGGCATCAATTATAATTGTGTCACCTACTCAATGATAATGAGAATCTTGTGATAGCAAAAATGACAAGCAATGATAAAAAGTGAGGGTAGGGCAATGGCCGACGACCAATGGAGTGGAGGCATGGATAATATTTTTTATATAAAAATAAAAAATATTTTATGAAAATAAGGCATAAAAAAATAATATACATGAGGAAAAAAGGGATAAAAACTTGAGATTTTTTAAAGAAAATTTGCCGAGTAACAAAATATAAAAGAATTTGACTAATAAGATAGATTACGAGAAAGACATAATGCTACAGTTCATTCTCTCACTAATCGGTGCTCAAGAAGTAACCTTAGAACATAATGGGGTAAAGATTTTGACTCCTTTTTTGTTTTTGAGGAACTAATAGTTATGATTATATATATATATATAATTTTTAAAATAACAAATATAAAATAATTTCTTCTCTTTCATTCTTATAATAAAAATCGATTTTCTTCAAAAATAAGTGTAAAAATAAATTAAGTGCATTTCAATCTTTTTAAAGTTCACACTGTATATAACAATTAGGAAATCAAGTCGATCGAGGATCTAATTCTCGACTTTGTATAGATTCGGTTCGGATTTTATGACTTTGACGACAGCCGTAAGAAAAGAAACGTGAATTGGGCTTTAAGTGTATCATTGAAAATACAAAGAAAGCAAAATAAAGTTTGACACTACTTTTTCGATTATTCAACTGTCTACCACTTTCTCTCTCTCTCTCTCTCTCTCTCTCTCTCTCTCTCTCTCTATATATATATATATATATATATATAT